CCCGGCCAGGCCCCGCACAAGCCGCCCGGGGTGCCCCCCGACCCCGGGCCCGGCAGGCCCCAAGGTGTAGTAGGGGCGCGCTGGGCACCGCGCTCCCTGCGTCCCCAGAGGGCGAGTGGTGGGGGGGGGGGCGCGGAGGGCGGGTCCTGCGCCCGGGGAAGGAGCCCAGCCCACGGCCCGCCGAGGTCTCGAAGGCAGGGAGGGGCCCGTGACGACCGAGCCCGGGCCGGGCGGCCGCAGACAGCGCTCTGCGCGCTCTCCCGTCCGTCCTGCCGGCTACCTGGGCTGTGGCTGCACGGGCCAGGTGGGCAGCAGCGGGGCTGGGGGCCCAGGCCGCTGCCCAGTCAGCGCGGCGCGGAGGGAGCTGTGGTTTTGGCCTCAGAGAGGGCCCTCCAGAACGCGGCCCCCTGCCCGCCCACCCTCTCTCGACACCTCGTGCTCAGGTCCGTCCGGCCCTGGCCACCGGACAGGTCGGGCAGTCGGCTTGGCAGTAGCCGCCACCTGGTAGCGCCAGAGACGCCGGCTCCAGGTTTCCTTGCCGGTGCACGGCAGACGGTGACCACCAGGGGGCGGCAGTGACCGCCGCGCAGAGCCTGGCGGGCGGGGGTGCTGGACTGCGTGCGTGAAGCCACCCCTCGAGCCCCGGGACACCGGTGGGTCAGCACCCAAGAAACTTGGAGTGACTCATCTGTTCCTTTCAGCACCCGTTTATTGAAAAGCAGCTGCGTCTCCGCCGGGAGCGCCCGGTCCAGCGGCGGGCGGAGGCCACTGCCCTCACAGTAAAGGTCCGGCTGTGGAGACCGCCTGTCAGGGTCAGGGTGGGACGGCCGGCCCGGCCTGGCCAGGCCCCAGCGCTCTGGTGACACGGGAGGGCGGCGGGGGGGGGCGCCTTGGAATGGGCGACAGGCGGGAGCCCAGGCGCCGCCTGACCGCGTGGCCAGACGCAGCGCCCGCCAGCATACCGTGTGGCCTGGCCCGTTAGCGGGGGCCTGCTGGAAGCCCCAGGGCCACCTCCACTGCCCCACTGGAGACACATGGGACTTCACACAGGGCGGAGCCAGGACCCCTGCCCTACCGGGCAGGTGCGGTCCCCCCCCCACTTGTGGCTGAAAACAGCCAGGGGAGAGGCCGGCTGCCCAGGGCCGGGCCACGGCCTTACCTGCCAGCAGCTCACTGTCCTCCGAGGCCAGGAATCCCTGGAGAGTCGTGAGGGGACGAATCTCTAGGCTGCTGAGGGGAACCGCCAGGTGGCATTTGGGGGTGACCTCATTAGTGCTCGTCAGAGGCCTGAGCCTGGCCAGGGCAAGGGCTGCCCACCACCAGGGCCCTGAGAGGTGATGCCCCTGCTGCCGCCCTCCTGAGACCCCAAGCCTGCGCCTCGGCCACTGGACAGGCAGAGCCTCTGGACCTGCGAGCAGAGAGGCCGGCTGCACCCCAGGCCTCGGCTCTCGGGGAGTGTGGAGGGGTCACCGCTAGGCACAGAAGCTCTCCCTGAAGGCCAGACTTAGAAGCTCCAAGGGCTGTGTGCGGCCTCCGCCGGGCTCGAGGGGCGGGCCTGGCCTGCAGCACTGCCCTCCGGCACTGGCCTCCCCTCCCGTCCGGGCAGCGCTGCCTGGCGGGGCTGGACCGGAAGAGGCGGGGCCCTGGCACCGGCTGGGAGCTGGTCCCGCCGCCTGCCCAGCCCTTCCGCTGGCGTGGCTCTCTCCAGGCTGGCCGCGCGGCTCCGCCCAGCTCCCCGGGTGACCGGTGGGCGGGCCGGAGGCTGCCGGGCCCCTGGAGGCGGCGGGGGAGGGGAGACAAAGAGCCGAAGCGGCCGGAGCACGGGCCGGCGCCGCTTCCTGATGGCCCAGGTCACCCCGACACCTCTCCTCCAGGCGCACCGGCCTCTGCCCGCGCCTAATTGCGCCCTAATTGGCCGGAGGGCGGAGCGGACGAACTGGTCCGGGCATGTCGGGCCACGGCCGCGAAGGGGGACCGATCCTCACGTAACTCCCGACGCCCGAGGGCGCCCGGGACCCGGTGCAAGCCGCGGGCCCCAAGGACGCAGGACGCCCTCACGCGCAGGGGCGTCGCAGGAGTGGGGAGCCCACAGCCACGTCTAGCCCTCGGGTTGGGCTGGACATAGAAGGCAGACACACCCACCCACCCCCAAAGCGGTCCCCCGCGCTGTGGGATCGGCAGGTGGGGGAAGCCGCCCCACCCACCCAGCTGGGGGGGCCGGGCGGGGCCTAGGCGCG